GAAATGTTCAAATCTGGATAAAAATTCATCCGGAAATTTGATTTTAGCAAATTTACAGTCAAACTAATTGATTTGGCGATGTGAGTATTGTGATAACAAACTTGGTTTAATCCAAGTCAAATCAAGCTCATATCAAGCCATTAAACCACTGTTGAAAGTTTTCCACTCATATTTGGCAGGTCAAACGAACGTTAAATCTCATGAGCTCATGATTGAATTGAGTGTTTTGATAAGACGAATCCAACGAGCTCAAGATCGCTCAATTACTACATTATAAAAGCCCTCAAATGTCTATCAAACGCCGTTTGATCAATGGAAGCTCTCTGAACCATCCGATCAAATTAGTTCATATTCCTACATTAATTGCACTCGAAACTCTATAGATAGAGCCGCACCATTCTCTTGTGAGTGGGAGGAAGGACCTTGAGGCCTGAAGAAGAGCTTGACACTTTGAGAAATAGCTGAACTCTAGCATCACTTCTGCCTCTGATAACCACTGCTGACCACCACTTGTCGTTCACCGCCGATCATCATCGGTCGCCGCCAATTTCTTGTGACAAGTTCCTTCGCGCATCAACATTGTAATTCAAGAGACTTTGTAACCCTTTTCCACCTATGAGATAAGGGGTGTTAATTGTAATATTTAGTTTATAATGAATCTCTTCGACTGGATCAATTCCCGTGATTTTTTCTTTTTACGAGTTTTCCACGTAAAAAACTTTCAGTTGTTCTATTTCTTCAGAGTATGTGTTGAATCTTCGTATAATATTAAGACGATAATATATTACTCTAGTGTCGCAAATTTTCTCCCTCAGATCAAAACCAATGCAATTAAAAAATGATAATCTATAGTATTATTTTCCTTAACAACTAACAATTGCATATTTACAAAAACGGGCATCCACCTATTTTATTCAAAAAAACATACACCATAATTTTGAAATTCGCAAGAAAATCATAAACCCTTATTTTTTTTATTTTTATCAAATGCCAAGCAATAAGATTATAAAAACCTCAAATGCATAGTTCAATAGTTGATATTTCGTACTGAGTGTCTGATTTATAAATATGCATATTTTTTATGATATATATGCATTTTTACAATAAAATAAAAAGATAGGGAAAGTGAAGGAATAATTTTGCAAATTTATTTAACTCAAAGTTTTCCCCTTCTGTAACAAGTAAAATCTTTAATTAAGAACGCAATCACGCAGTCATAATTACATTTTTATTTATAGATTATTTTATATTCATTTTTTAAATTTATTTATGGATTATTTTATATCATTTTAATGAAATTCCTAAATATTTGATTGTGGCACATGTAAATGCACTAATATAAATTTTAAAAAAAAAAGGATATGGGTGTTAATTTTGTAAATTTCAACTTTTCAAATGCTATGAATATAATTATTTAAAAACAATTATGTGAATGTTTCATTTTAAAGACCGGAAATGACCATATAAATGATGGACTATTTCAAGATATTCCACACAACTCTAAAAATTTTTTTAGTTATAAATAGGGTTGTAAAAGAGGAGAGCTTAAGCGGGTTCAGGCTTGGCTCATGTTCGGTTCTTTCAAAATTGCTCGTGTTTGAAATTTACTCATGAATAATATGTTCGTGTTCGGCCTGATTTAAAGATTCTTGTTTGTGTTGGACTCGAAGTTGACTTTTTAAGATTAATTGAAAAAAATAGATATAGAATGTTGGATTCAAACCTGAAATAATTTTATGCAAAAGAAGACCAATAATCACAAAATCATATAAGTTATTATGATTTAACGTTAGATATAAATTTATATATATATATATTATAAATGATTATATGATTCTTTTCGAGCTAAAATTAGATGAATAAGAGCAAAGATTTATTCATGTTCGTTATAATTAGAGCTTAAAAATTTTTAAATGAGACGAAGGGCCCGTTTGGGACCGCGACAAGAGCGCTTCGCGGCCTGGCCCTGCAATTTGTCGTGTTTTGGCGCGGCGTCCTGCTCGCAGCGAGACGCGATTCCAGCTGAAAGCGGGCCGCGGAGAGCACCCTGCGTCCCAACGTTCGTGGGGAGCTTTCGCGCTTACGCCGATAATACCCCTCCCCTAAGCAAATATCTGCTTCGGACACCGAACCGTGTTCGCCCCCTTCATCCCCCTCCCCTAAGAGCAAAGATTTATTCATGTATCTTGTATCTATTTGATTGCCATCTTCTGCTTATAAAAGCAATGAATTGTTTGTTGAATATAAAAGAAGAGTGGCTGGGACTTGTCTGATCATAACTCGACCCCGGCCCGGGGGCCGGCCGCTGGCGTCGACCCCCAGCCTGCGTTTAGTATAAAAACCCAAACACAATTTCAGATAAGCCGGTGAAACGCGCGAACCAAACCGTACGAACTCTAGTTTATGATCTCCTTGCATAAGAGGAAAGCTTGGAACGTTACATTAAGTTTCAAATAAAATGGAAAATTGTGAAAATAAACATAACTTATTCATTTTCATGCATCTGTTCACATTAAGTGAAGAAAAAAAAAACATAACTTTTCATTTTCCTGCATCAGCAATTGCTTTCTATGATTTTTTTTAACCAAATTGGCAGCTAGGAATGGCTAGTGGTTTGGAAACTCTTTGTGGGCAAGCTTATGGAGCAAAACGATACAAAAAGCTTGGAATCCACACATACAGAGCTATTCTATCACTCATAATAGTCTGCCTTCTAATTTCTCTCCTTTGGATTTATACGGGGAAGCTTCTCTCACTCATAGGTCAGGATCCCCTAAATATCCCAAGAGGCGGGCAAATATATAGCATGGATGATCCCTGCCCTCTTTGCCTATGGTACTGCTCAGCCTCTTATGAAGTTTTTTCAATCTCAGAGCTTAACTCTTCCTATGCTTTTGAGCTCATTCACAACGCTTTGCATCCACATTCCTTTGTGTTGGGCCATGGTGTTAAAAACTGTATTGGGCAATGTTGGGGCTGCGCTTTCTATAAGTATTTCTTATTGGATCAGTGTAGTGATTCTCGTGATGTACATCAAGTACTTGGATTCAAAGTTTATGTGTTAGATATGTAAATGCATAAGATTGTGTTGCATATGGGTCTTTTTTTTCAGTTTATGTGTTAGATATGTAAATACAAAGTTCTTATTCATAAACAGATCATAAACACTTATTCATAAACAGATGGTTGTTATATTATTCTTTTAAACAATTTTACCAAATAGGGGTAGTATGGTCTTTTTTTTCATAAACAACTGCCCGATAGCTGGTTTCACGTAGCTGCACTAAACAGACAGCCAGCTTCCCCGCAGCTGCTTCCCCACAGCTGCTTTCTGGGGCAACGCAGCTGCAGCTGAAAAGCTAAGAAGCTACGACTGCGCCAAACAGAGCCGAAGACCACGAACAATGAGCTTTTTTGGCGACGCAGTTATACCTTGACTGATAAGCTGATTAAAAATAATATGCTGATAAACTAAGTAGGGTAGCTATTAAAAATTTTTTTTTTTTATGGAAAAACAGGACCACAACCAGAAACTTGCCACCACACCTAGATAGGTGCGGCGTGAAAAACGCTATTTTCAACATTTTAAAAATGCACAAGCTGCCAAAACGCAGTTTACCTAAATAGGTGTATTTTCAAAACGCCGCCGCATTAAATAAGCTGCCCCAAACGTGCCCTAAATTACTTGGCGACACATGTTGCACATCCTCCCGTGATTGAGGGCTAAATTACTTGGTGCATGTTACTCATATATATATATATATATATATACACACGTGTTGCACATCCTCCCGTGATTGTGGGTTAAGTTACTTGGCGCATGTTGCTCATAAATATAATGTTTTTTTATAAATAAATTTACTAAGGAAATAAAATGATACATCTATTTTTAGTGCCGTGTGATTTTTTTCTTAATTAAGATTAATAACTTTTATTTATAGACGCTTCAAATTCTTTCAATGGGATGCCCACAGAAATTATTAGCCATAGGAAGACATTTCCAAATTTAAATAAAATTTAAAATTTAAAATTTTAAATGAACGGACACGTGTCACTAAAATTAAAGCTGTATTATTATGTAAGCTTGAAAAAACTGTCTGGGTAATAACTATATATTATTTTCTATCCATTAATATATGTACACCAAAAAATTTGATAGGTCAAGCGAAACAAGTAAACTGACTCATGGAGTCAGTCTAGGGGCTAGCTTTTGACATCGAATTAGATGAGATCCATGTAGGTGCCAACTCCACATCAATAAACCCTTTAATCTGTCGAGGGCCCAGACTTGCTGTCAATGCCACATAAGGGTTGTAAACAAGCGTGAGCTTAGATTTGGCTCGTTTAAAACTAATTTTGTTTGAAATTACCTCGTGTAAGAAATTTACTCATGATGATTTGCATATTTTTGTTTGTGCTCAGGTCATGTTTTGCTTGAAATTGACTTTGTAATTAGAACAAACAAATGTAAAATGAGATTCAAACTTGTGACACTTCTTTATAATACAATAAAAGACGCAGAATCAGATGATCACATCACTGTTGTTATTTAAAATTAGTTATATATATATATATATATATTATATATGTATATATATGTATATAATTTTATAAATAATATATATAATTTTGTTATTTCAAGCAAAAAAGAAGTCGAACATTATTTGATAAAGGGTTCTTCATTTTCAACTCATTTATAATTCAAGCTTAAAAAATTTATTACTGTTCCACTTGCTTATTCAACGTACAACTTAAACCTGAGCTACTCAACGAACGAAAGATGAATTTTTCACGAATAATGAGTCTTTCTTTTTAACATGATTAAAAACTTGACCAACAATCAGTTTAGAACCAAACCCACAGATTGAGGAACTACGTACCTATTGAGTATGAATAGATCCGGTTCAAAAAATTTAAAACAGACAATAACAAAAGTATTTAAATATTTTGTTATTAATGAGTATCTTCTTTCAAGCTTTCATCATTCTGATTCAATTTATTATTCTGATTTTTTTCCTCATAATCAAAAACACATATTTTGCGGCGCATTTAACATTCTCTCCTGCTTCAGTCGCTCTGAATCGGCATGTGATTCTCGCTGAAGGACTAAAAACTGAAACTTGGAGCTTGGATTTTGAGCCATGGTCTTCACTTCTTCTTCTTCTTCTTCTTCTTTTGAATTTCTGTGTTTTCGCCAAAATTTCAGACCCGGAATGATGTAGTATGAATGCTTCGAAAGGTGTTCTTTCCTTGCTTTCTGGAATGCGTTTAAGGGGTTCGAGTGGATTTATCAATGTCTGGCTTTTCCATTGGTTTTGTTGTCTGTTTTTATTTTCAAACCAATCATTGTTTATAAAAAAAATTATCAATTGCACCAAGATATGCAGCCAAAGGGAATCATTGAACTGAGCAGAGCAAGCATTCCACTTTTCTATTGATATTCATGAAGGACCTTTCTCAGATGCTTCCTACCAGCAGGAGCAGATCCCAGCTTAGATCCAGCAGATCTGGGTCTTTTTCAGGTTAGTTTTGCTGCAGCGATCAAAATATATTTTTAATTGTTGATGCATTTATGGTTTCGGTGAAGTCTGGATAGTTTTCTACTGTCATTATGCTTGCCTTGTGTGCTCAGAAATGGAATACTCGGAATCAAGAAGGAAGCCTCACGTTCTTGGTAAACTCTTCATGGCTGCTGTTTTGACAACATTCTGTGTAGTTATTGTGAAGCAACCTCCAAGCTTTAGCTGCTCAAATGTGGTAAATGTTTGCTCTTTATTGTGTTGAGATCTTCAAGGCTCTTTATTGTGGGCAATGAGATGAGTTCACTTGTGTGGGTAGTAAAGAGATAAATGATAGCTTTAATGACAAGAATCTGTCTCTGCATGATCTGGTTTGTGGATATTGTATTTTTTTGCATTTTTTATGTTTTGAAATGGCATGACGAATGCTGGGATGCATCATCATTCCATCAGCTTTTCTTTTTTTATTTGGTCAACGTTTTTCAGTGAACGTGTGATTTTAGTTTTTGAAACATTTGTGCATTTGGGTCTTATGACTAAGCGCTTTTCTTTTTTTATTTGGTCAACATTTTTCAGTGAACCTGTGATTTTAATTTTTGAAACATTTGTGCATTTGGGCACTTATGACTAAGCATTTAGTCGGTGCCGTGATATTCTATATGTGAAACCCCTCAAGTAGAATGAAGCTGAAGTCTTAAAAATCGAGGCGTCTTTTGGTGTAAAGGTTTGAATTTCATCAAGAACATCGAAGTTAAGTATGCCCATGCGGGAGCATTCATGGGATGAGTGACCTCTTAGGAAGTTTGGCATAGCGGTTGGAATTTTCTTCGAAATTCTAAAGTTGAGCGTGCTCGTGCGATACCACTCCTGGGATGACTGACCTCCTGGAAAGTTACACCAATGAGAGAGAACCACGAGGCCATTAAACCAAAGTAGGTAATACCTTGATGGACGAGAGTTTGGATTGTTTCACTATACTTGGTCTAATCAAACTTTTTAAGCTGAGCAATGTATGTTATGACAACATTTTCATCTAAATCCTCTGGTGCAGAAAACATATTGACGCGGGGGCTATGGAGGACTGGCCTGGAGAATTCGTTCTGCTGGACCAATCTGTCCTCAAGGGGAGGAGCTGTCGACCTTACACCTCTCCCCATCCTTTCTCTCCCCCTCCCTCTTTCATTTCTAGCACTTTTCTATAATAAGTTATTACCAATTCTAAATTCCGATTTTTTTTACTCATCATTGTCTGATATGAAATTATATTAGTTTTGTCGTCCTTGCCTAATCTGAATTATTATTATTTTTATTCTTGTTTCTTATTTTAAACATTGCCTAAAATAAGTTCTAGTCCCCATTATAAATATGGGGTGTTATTCTTAGAGTTTTCTTTAGCTTTTGACATGTTTGCTTTTCAGATTTCTTTTGTGGAGTTTTCTTCCCTTTTGTAGGGATATATCCAAGGAGGTTGTGGTGCTCCGGTCGTATCCTACTCTGAGGTTGTTATGTATCTTCCCTAACTTGTCTCTTCCACTCCCCTTAACCGTCGGCCACTCCAAGTCTTCTCCAACCACCTCTAGCCCACTTTCCAGCCTCTCAACCTGCTGTCCAAACCCTCCAAGCCTGTTGCCAGCCCTGCAACATGCTGTCTAGTTGTTGAACCTGTTGTCCAGCCTTTCCATCATTCCCCCGCATTTCCCCAGCCTTCCAAACTACCCTACAACCCCCAACCCTTCCCCGTTTCCACCTTTTCACCTTGCCGACACCATCAGTTCTTCTCTTATGGTCCTAATCGGGGATTTGGATTGTTAGTGTATTCCCCTTTCCCGTTTGTGTCGTGTTGTAAGCCTATTTATAAATTAATAAAAGTTTATTTTCGTGTTTCTGCTGAATTCCACCTAGTTCTGGTATCATTTAGTATCAAGTTAGTCCTACCCTAGCTCTATCTTAGGATTTTATAGCATCCTCTCTTTCCCAAGCCACACCCGCAAAAATTTTTTTCTTCTCTATCTCCAACCATAGCCAAAACTTTGAGCTAACCCTCGATTCCCGTGCCGACTTTCAAAATCAACAGCCCTAAATCAAATTTTTAGCCCCTCTCACCTTCCAACTCTAAACCCTAGCCATGTCACATTGAGATACATGCCCAAGCTATCCCGGGAGAAGATATACCGAGAGATCTGTTGACTTCGGTATGGAAGATAAAATCCAATGAGAGGGATCTCTCATCTGTGATCCGAAAGGTTGAAGGGGGAATGAGAAGATATACAGGGCACTCCATTATAAGTGGCCATTGCAGTTAAGAGTTTGAGGAGCTGACATCAGACACAGGGCCCCCTCAGTCAAGGGAAAGACAGGTATTTTGAGTTCCCCCTACGTCGGGAGGTCAAACAAGTCCAAAGAGAAGTCAGTATGTCCCATGCTTGGACTATTACAATGAATAGTTCATATTTTAGAGTCAACTCAGCGAGACACCCATCAACAAATTTTTAGACACATGGGTTGAACCTCTTTTTTGAAATGTGCCTTGGGGGATGAAAATTCTTCAATGGGATCCGGGTTCTGTCACTGAAGAAGATGTATCTCCTCAGTAGTTGCTGATGAAAGTGGCGTAGCCTGCCACAGATTTCATCCCATAATTGAGTTCTCTTCACATACTTGTTACTCAACCACCGCATGCTGGGCACAAGAATTGGAAAGAGAAGATTTCAAATGTAAGTGCTTGAGAGTTACATTGCGAGAACTCTTCTTTATATGCAGACCCCACTCATGATGTGCCAAAAAAGGATGGATACCTATCTTACCAGGATGTGTTGTGGAATGAAAACACCGATATGATCGACCTACTAAGGAACTTAACGTCATCCCATAAAGAATTAGGTGTCACCGAGACTGAAGATAAGGACCAGAAGCTTCAATGAATGAGGTCGAAGCTTCCCCAAGACCAGGAGAGTGAGCGGGGGCTATGGAGGACCGGCCTGGAGAGTTCGATCAAGCATTACTGGACCGGCGGTCCTCAAGGGGAGGGGTTGTTGACCCTCAGATCTTCTCCTTCGCTCCTAATTGGGGATTTGGATTGTTAGTGTATTCCCCTTTCCGGCTAAATTAAAAAAAAAGATTGCTTTCATGTTTCGCTGAATTCCAACTTGTTGCGGTATCATATATACTTATATTTCTCAAGATCATTTTATATTATTGTCATTTTCTTTTGATTCTAAGTTAAATAGGTAAATTGAATGTTTGCCATGTTTTATCATAGCCTTTCTCTTTGGTAGCCAAATCAATCAGCTACTCGCAATTTTCAAACATGTACTTCGCTAGAAGGAAATGTCTTGTTTTCATTGGCATATGCCATGCTGGATGATTTTGTTCTCCTGAAGGAATGCATTAGTTAGCCGGTGAGATTTAATATTTAGCACTACTCTATCTCGTTTTAGCCACAAGGACATAATATCACAAACCCCCACCAATCACTCCTTTTTTTATTTTCTGTCTCATGCTAGAAAATTTACAACAATAGAGATAATGTAACATCTTAGGTTATACGTAGTTCCCACGAGCACAAAAAAGTCGAGAACATTTACAAGATACAAACTTTTTTACTTCAAAAGTTTTGAGGAGGAAAACTCTACGGGACTTGCTCAATCTAAAAAATTATGCTATTGTGGCCGAGGATCAAATGACATATTTACTTATAAATGAAGGAGGTGTTAATATAATGTAATAAACTCGACTTATTGGAGATATCTCATTTGGTGATGGTAGAGCCTAAAGTTGTAGAACTGTCTTTGGATAATGAGTTTCAGACAATATTTGATAGTAAATGCTAGAAGTCAAGTGAGTTTGGTTTGGTCGAACATCATATATCAATGGAAAGAGAATGCAGGATGTTGGTTGTTGGTAAGTGTTTGGCAACTAATGATGCAGAATGCCAAAAGTTGGGTTACTTCATCGTTGTCTTAATAGGAGAGGCAACAGAGCAGTTTGGAGAATCATTCTCAGACATGGGACAGTGATTGTAGACAAGCTTCTGGAGATAGTTGTTTGATCTTGATGGCTAGCATTGAATGTTGATAGCAGGGGAATATTAAAAGTCGGTCGTTGCCAGTTGTCAAATGATGGGTGATGTCGAATGATCGAGATGGTGAGAGTTAGATGTCGGATATGCATTAAGCGATTGTTGACGATGTGTATATCAAAAGTCGGACGATGATGATGATGGGCGGCGCCGTTTACCTAATAGAAGGGCAACTAAGAATCTGAGCATCAGACGTTGGTTGTGGACATATGATGGATATTAATCATTGATATGTATTGGGTGATCGTTGCTAGAGAATGTCAGAAATGGACCAATGTTGGGGAGTTAACATGGTCTTTCTTTCGATAGGATGAAAGATCAAGCGACAATGAAGATAAGTGTGTGATGCAGGTAGACTGCAAACATCACACACCATCATTTTCTGCCATTACATGAAATTAATGAGGAATGTGGGAAGTCAAGATGTGGTTGGCTTGGTTATTATCTTGATAGTAGAGATTGGGTGACCAGAAAAAACAATTCATGGTATCTAATGCCCATTTATTTGGGCTATAGGTGATGGAAAATGCTTGAATTCGGACAACATTAAATGATTTGCTTGGTTTTTATCTTCATAGGAGAGGTCGGGTAAACGGGTTATCGGGAATATGAGTGTCGGTAGCTAGAGAACATCAAATGTCAGTAGTTGGAAAGCATTGGGTGGCAATAGAAGAAATATAAGCAATCAGATGATGTTCCCTTGATATCGAAATTGAGCAATCTTAGACACATCGAATTACTCATGTCAAGATGTTGTTTCAACTATAAGCAAACAAATTTTGAGGATGTTGGAAAAATTAAATAACATCAAGAAAGTTTTATTAATAATTTGAACTCTACTTTGCATGATTTTTGGCTCATTGGATTTGTCTTGTCTAATCAGTTATGTTGAAAATAAATTGAATAAAAATCGACTCCGAATGATTTCATGGGCGAATATTGAAAGTTCTAGCCGAAATATTTGGGTACTTGGAGAGTTGAAAATTGCAAAATTTTAGGCCTTAATAAACCAATTGTGGAAATCATATCAGTTTCATAGAAATAAGGAAGTTCTTATATAGAAGTTAATTATCTAACATGGAAATATCCATCATTTCAACAACTTAATAAAGATACATTTCTTGCAAAAGAAGAAAAATACTTTGTATCCATGCCTGCCCTCCTCTTTTTTGTTTTCAACAGTTTAAATTTTTTCCAAATTTATCATGGTTAAAAGTTGTTGATAATAACTTAAATACAGGACATTTTTCATCCAATCATCATATGTTACTTCCATCACAATTTTTAGCAATGCTTTATTTTCTCTTGTCTTTAGTGAAATTTGTCATAGTCCAACAAGTATAATGTTCTGAAATTGCAATGTGAAATATATCTCAGTCGATGAAATTTTTGTCCATTTTCTTTTGTCTTCTAGTGACGGCTGTCATTGAATTATATTTTTTTCTGATCAATTTCTTTTCACAAAATTTAATTCTCATTTTTTAACAGGTCGCTGATCATGAACCGGGAATAATGCATGTTCTGGTAACTGGAGGAGCAGGCTATATAGGTTCACATGCTGCACTTCGGCTCCTGAAGGACTCTTACAGAGTGACTATTGTGGTACATAGAATCCCACTCTGGAAACCTTCTTTTAACTTGCAATGCTACAGAAGTATAAAGTTCTGTAACTTTTTTGACAAAGAAAAAATCTATTCATTTTCTTACAGGACAATCTTTCCAGAGGAAATATGGGGGCAATTAACGCCCTGCAAGAGCAATTTGCGGAAGCTGGTAGACTACAGTTCATTTTTACGGATCTTGGCAACGCTAAAACTGTATCCTTATGTGCGCTCAATTTTAGTAAATACCACCCAATTCTTATTTGTTTGCATATTACATTTATACCACCCAATTATTTCATATCACATAAAAAATACCACTATTCTAACTTTTAGAAGTGAATACACCTTAGGTAAGGTAGCATATATGTAAAAATTGAAGTTTAGGATTTAGATATGTAAGTAAATACATATGAATTGAGTGGTTCAGAGCCTTTTTTTTCCTTAGCAAATGTTCAGGTCAGAAAATTATTTTCTGAAAATGCATTTGATGCTGTCATGCATTTTGCGGCCGTTGCTTATGTTGGTGAGAGCATGCTTGAGCCTCTCAGGTATATCGCTTTTTGTTTTGAATCTTACTCTGAGTTGGTGGAAGGCTTGTTGTTTCATCCTTCTTTCTGAAAGAGAGTTGTGCAAATTTAGCGTGTTGCATGCCTTCACCATTTTAGTATGACAATTAGACAAATTCCCTTGATATGAACATACTATTAATCTGAGTATGATAATTATTTGGCTTTGATTATGCTTATTGTAGAAATTCTGAGAAAGTTTTTTATTTCTTGCTCCTGTGCATTAAACCTTGCTACACATATATATAATAATGTTATCTGCATATCAATCCACCAAATAGGAAATAGGAATCATTTTAAATTTGGAATTTCACCAAATAGGTGTTATGGTGTGGAGACTGACTTTGAGCACCACAACCGGAGATCTTGAGCGCCTGGCACTCCATACGCTTCTTTCTTGAGCGGCCCATGCTCCAACGCCTAGTTCGGGCGCTCTCGTGCCCATCACCCAGTTCAGTTCTCCTGTGCTCAGTGCGGGCGCTCCTGCGCCCAAATTCGGGCGCCTCCTACGCTTATTTCTCAGGTGCTCCAGGTGCCTCTTTCCGAGAGAACGACGCTCCAATGTCCACTTCTGGACAGTCTTGCTCCAGATGTGGTTGGCTCCAATTTCGGTTTAAGGGGGCATTTTTGAGTGACAAAATATATAGTTCGTGTGTGTGAGCTCTTTGAGAACTTACCGGTGAGGAAAGGAGTGTCGAAGAGGAGAATTTTGCATGAATTTATTTTTTTAGATCGAGAGGAAGGATTTGAAGTGAAGTGTTGTAAGTTTCCTTGATTGTAGAGACGAAATTTAAGTGTGTTATCTGTATACTTTTCTGAATTCATAGTGAAAATTTCTTGGTGGCGTGACTCCGTGATTTTTTCCCGCTCTTGGGTTTTTCCACGTTAAATTCTAGTGTTTTTTAGATTTTCTTTGGTATGCTTCCGTTCGTATTTTTTTGTTCCAGTTTTCTCGAATCTGTGCGATTCTATTCCATTGTGTGGTTTAGATTTAAATTAAATCTAAGCTCCGTTAAATTATATAGAAGATTGTTTCATCCCAATAAAGTGGCATCAGAGAGGTGTTTGATTCTAGTGGCAACAATAGCCGACGAAGCAAGGTTCAAAACGGATAAGTTCAATGTGATGAACTTCGCAATCTGGAGGATTTGTTGTATTAGAAAAAGTTGTATTTGTCACTACATGGAATCACCAAGAAGCTTGAGTCTATGATTACGAAGGAATGAGAAGTGTTGGATTGAATAACACTATGTTTGATCTAGTTGTCACTCTATTCGTCTATTGCGTTGAACATGTTAAATGAGAAAACCACGGTGGATCTCATGGCGGCACCGAGCAAGATGTAGGAAAAACTTTCTGTTTCAAATAAGATTTTTCAGATGAAGAGGTTATTCAATATGAAGATGATAGAGGACAATTCAGTGTCAGGACATTTGAATAATTTCATTACCTTAAGGAGCCAACCGTGCTCTATGGGGATCAAGTTTGATGCTGAGGTCAGAGCACAGGTGATACTGTCTTCATTGTTGTACAACTAGGATGGTTTGGTTACTGTGGTGAGTAATTCTTCAGGGAATACGAAGTTGAACTTCAATAACATCGTGAGTTTGATGTTGAATAAAAAAGTTCATAGAAAAACAACGAATGGTGAACCTTTATGTTCTACATTGACAGTTGATAACAGAGTAAAGCTTTTGGACAGAAATACTAACAAATGTAGATCCAAGTCCAGGTCAAGCAGGAGAAATAGTAGAAGAGAATGTTGAAATTGCAAAAAAAAAATGGTATTTAAAGAAGGACTACATAGCTCCAAAGAAACCTGGTGGTAGAGGTCGGGAAATGAATCTCTCTACAAATGTCTCCACTAGTGAGATCCAAATTGACTCACGGGTGCTATCCTTAGTCGGTATTGAATCTTGGATAGGAAATTCAGATGCTAGTTTTCATGAATGCCCTATTAAAGAGACATTTAAAAATTACACTCAAAGTGATCTAAGGAAGGTTTATCTGGGAAATAACAAGACCTGTAGTATCATAGGAAAGAATGATGTTGATATAAAGTTGTTAAATGGAATAGTTTGGGAGCTTATTGAAGTTAGATATGTTCCAAGTTTGAAGAAAAATTTTATTTTTATGAACCGACTAATAAAGTAAAGACTCGTGACTATTTTTATAGGTGATTCGTGGAAGGTGACCAGAGGACACTGGTGATGACTCTGGGCAACATTGAAGACACTCTTTACTTGATCAATAAAATGGTTGATTTCATTGATGTGACTGAAATCAGAGTAGATGCAGGTCCGTGACACCACAAGTTTGGTTATATGAGAGAGAAATGTATGACGTCCTCACTCTCTAAAAATAAATTTCTGGGTTTGAGATCAGTTGATTAGGATTTCTTTGAAGACTTGTATATATGTTAATTGGAAGATAGTCTTTCTTTAAAAGTGGGTCGGTGTTGAAGTCAAAGAAATTTGTGTTAGTTCATACTGACGTATGAGACCCTAATCCAGTTCAGTTCGTTGGAGGTTCCTACTATTTTGTCACATTTATTGACGATCACACAAGAAATATATTGATTTACTTCTTAAAGTGAAAGACTATGGTCGAAAATAAGACAAACTTGAAGTTGAAGTGTCTCAGATCAGATAATGAAGGCGAGTATCGTGATCATAAGTTTAGGGATTTATTTATTATAGAGGGGGTTAGGCATGATTTCACTGTCCCAAGTACACATCATAAGAATGGTGTGTTGGGCGCATGAACAAAATAATCACAGAGCGTGCTAGGAACATAAGGCTGCATGTAGGCTTGCCAAAAGAGTTTTGGGCTGAAGCAGTAAACGCTGCAACTTATCGATTAGCCGTGATCCATTAGTACTTTTGGTGGAAGGCTTACCTAAAAAAGTTTGGAGTGATAAAAAGATAGTTCTATCACATTTAAGAGTATTTAGGTGTTCTGCATATGTGCATGTCGATGCAATTTTCATATTGACTCAAAATTTGTCAAGTATGCCTTCATTGGATATGACTCAGATGAGTTTGGGTACAATTCTGAGATTATCAGACTCATAAATTCACTAGGAGCAGGGTATCACTTTCAATTGAATGAAGATGTACAAGGACAGGGTCAGAACTAAGAATAGTTTGACAGTTACTTATGGAGAGTCCAAGTATATTGAGATAAAAGATATTGGTGATTAGAAAGGTTGATATTGAGATAAAAGATATTGGTGATTAGAAAGGTTGAGAAAGAAGTATTGCTCAACCAGAAGGAGCACTGGAAGCTCGTCAGTCACCTGCCACTGAAGTCAGGAGATCCAGTAGAGCGATTCGACCCGTACACAAGTATTCTCCTTCATTACACTATTAGTTTTTAACTGATAATGGGGAACTGAAGAGTGATATGACACTCCGACTTCTTAGTTTCCCCTCGAGGGCTATATCCAACGGTTAGGGTGATGTTCCGATTGTATCCCTCTCCCCAGTGGTGATTTATCTTCCCCGAAGTCCACCTCCATCTCCCCTCCTTGCCGCCAGCAGTTTCCTGTAGCTTCCTTTTCCTTGCCGCCCTTTTCCCCAACCTACAACCCCCGTTTCCATCCTTTTCTCTAGTTTCCTAGCAGGTGGCCCTCTCATTTCCTGCAATAGGTCCCACTCGCAGCTTTGCTGCTGCCCCAACCGTTCCTATTAACCCTCTTCCACTATATAGGTGAGCTTGCAATTCCCCCTCCACTATCAAGCCATTTTGGTAACCCCTCTTCCCCCACCCAGCCAATCCTGTAACCCCTGTAGCACTCCCCTCCATCCCCCTCTTAAGCCCTGTATTTGCTGTAATTCCCAACCCGTCGGTCCGAATCGTCCCCCAAACCAACAACTGTCCTTCCAAGTGCCTCCTCAACTGCTATCAACCTTCTGACCATTCGTTGATTGCTGCCGCCAGACCAGGAAAGCCTGCAAGCTGTTGTCCAATCTATGTCCAGCAGTCCCGCCCTAACAACCCACCCCTTAGTTATCACCTCGAGGGTGTTATTTTTGTTGTTGTCGCTTATTTTCTGCTTTGACGAGTCTTTATTGTAACCTTTTGGGATTTCAACAATAATATTTGCATCTCCAATTTCATTCTGGGTTGGGTTTTTCTCCTCCGGTATCAGCCCTACAGGTTGCTTAACAGAAGACTGTGATACTTGTTCAGAACTAGAATCGTTACTAAATATTTTCTTTAGTGTCTTAATTTGCTCCTCAGTAAACTGACTTTATTCTGAATTATTGTTGGTTGTGACAACATCATTTGTACCATTTTCTCTATCATATCTCCTATTGGATGGCTTCCAATTTGCAGATTTTCCGTATAATTTTTAACATTTTTTTTACGTGATCATTTTTTTACAATGATCACACCACAACCATCCTTTCCTAGGCTTATTATTCTAAGTGGAATTTTAAGTGTACACGATTGATCCTTCAACAGATGGTGTGGTGTGATAGTCTCCTTCAACTTCTTTTTGCTCTCCTTTTTTTGAACTTTTGCAAAGGCCTCCCGAATGGTAGGGATGGGTTTATCTCCCATGATTCTCCCTCTGACTTCATCTAGGTCTTTATTAAGGCCAAGGAGAAATTCAATTGTCCTTTTTTGTTCAGTAATCCTTCTATACAATGTAGATTCATCAAGCTATTTCCACAAATAAATCTCATGCATGTCCAATTGTAGATAACAACGTGCGAGGGTGTTAAAATATTGAGTAAATATTGAGTAACACCCAATTCTCCTTATTGTTTATCAAGCAGTCCAGTTTCAATCTCAAATAACTCAGAGAAGTTTTCAGTGCTAGAGTATGTTTCAAGTGAAGTCTCCCATATCTCTTGGTTGTTCTGCTCTATGGAGCATGAAATTTTCTCCAACTTTCGTGGTCATGAAATTTTAACTTGACATAACCATGTGCTCGTCAGTTTTTCAAGCACAATATTTAGAATTTGTCATTT